GTCACCCACAGGGGGGCACAGCACCACTGGCCTCTGTGCCTCCCGAACCCCGTGCCAGACCAAAACGCAGCACTTATCTCCATCAGGAGGCATTAGGGCCGAGGAAGCTCCCCCTGCTCCGTAGGGTACCGCCTCAAACACCCACCTTCACTTCAGAGAGTACTTAGCAACCGTCCAACCCCATGACGGTCCATGCTGTTCCCATCTGAAAACTGATAAGAACAGATACTACACTTGATCCTAGCCAAAAGGCAGAGAAAAGGTTAGTGGAAATGAGCCCGTTGGACATCTCATTCCAAAAGCATGGTTAATTGATAGACTTGTGTATTGGTCCATCTCAAAAACGTCAATAGCACTCACTGCTGACAAATTAACATCTTCCTCAGTTGTCTTGCTGACCTTTTGTGAGCCATTTCTGTATTGAGCCAGCTTACGAAGTGCTATGATTGCTGTTGATATGATTACTTTCTGGTGGTTTGATTGGCTATATGTTGGCTCCATTCATTCACAGATACACCATATGGCCAAAGGTTAGTGCAAATCAGCCCGTTGGACATCTCGTTCTAAAATCATGAGCATTAATATGCTTGTATCCCAATTGATTTTGCACAAGCTTTTGTTAGAATATACGTTTCCTATCCAGTGAATGGTAATATCCACTGTTCATTCTAAATATATGACAGAAGGTTCCAAAGTCTCCTTTATATTAGTATGTTGTAGTTAATACGTAGGTGATCTGTCTCTCCACCTCTCAATCCTTAAACTTGGACAGGAAGCAAAGAGGTAACAGTAGGCTCAGAATACTCCGATCCTACTAGGGAGCCTGAAAATCACACACGCTTTGATAAAGAAAGATCTTCCCCCTCTTACCTCTACTCTAGTGATATCGCTAGTTCTTTGAAAACTGAAGGGCAACATGCAAGACCAGTGCAAACAATGGCTATCCTTAACATTTCACTGATTCATTGGTAGGCCATGGTGCCCCAAAACTGCTGCAAGTGTCATATTACTAGGCCCTGGTGACATTGCTGAGGCACTTGGCCTGTGGAGGTTATATATTGAATATTGACACTGTGCACTATATGGCTAACACAGTCTGTGTTTTTTACAAACTGGCTGTTTGTAAACTGGTTGACTGATTATTGGCACAGAGCATTGGTACACAGATGATTGGTACAGAGATAACAGGTACACGTCTTTATGAATTTAGCCTCCATGTTGGTCCCATCCAGCCAGCAAAGAGGCTGTTTTGGCTATTAGTGGGACAGCTTGTGTTGCTACCAGACATGTTATTCAGAAATAGCCTGGTAGACTATAAATAGTTATTGGAGGAAGCAGTAGGACCCTGAGGTCTGTGTTTATCCTTCTCTGTGCTAGAGGCTGGCAGCAGATGAGGCCAGGCATGCCGTGTATATGTTATGCTTTCTATCCCGGGCAGATGTTAAGTGCTGAGTATCTTCTCCAGATGGATAAACCCGTCTCATGTAATACACAGCCAGCCCACTGAGCACTACTCAGTCTCATAGCCTGCACATCTGCTCTTCCTGGACCTGTCTACATTGGTCTGCTTACATCTGAGTGTCACCGGCCCTGGAGGCCTTAGCATTAACATATCTCAAATACATGAGGTGAACATAACTAAACAGGATCAAACGTGGAAGACACTTAAAGGACCACTATAGCGAAAAACATTGTAGTTTGGTAACTGAATACATTCTCTTGAAGACCAATCTGCCAGGATACATTTTCTTGAACACCAGTCTATCCAGGATACATTCTCTTGAAGACCAATCTATCCAGGATACATTTTCTTGAAGACCAATCTATCCAGGATACATTTTCTTGAAGACCAATCTATCCAGGATACATTCTCTTGAAGACCTATCTATCCAGGATACATTTTCTTGAAGTCCAATCTGTCCAGGATACATTTTCTTGAAGACTAATCTGCCCAGGATACATTTTCTTGAAGACCAATCTATCCAGGATACAATTTCTTGAAGACCAATCTATCCAGGATACAATTTCTTGAAGACCAATCTATCCAGGATACATTCTCTTGAATACCAATTTATCCAGGATACAATTTCTTGAAGACCAATTTGTCCAGGATACATTCTCATGAAGACCAATCTATCCAGGATACATTCTCTTGAATACCAATTTATCCAGGATACAATTTCTTGAAGACCAATTTGTCCAGGATACATTTTCTTGAAGTCCAATCTGTCCATGATACATTCTCTTGAAGACCAATCTATCCAGGATACATTCTCTTGAAGACCAATCTATCCAGGATACATTTTCTTGAAGACCAATCTATCCAGGATACATTCTCTTGACAATCTATCCAGGATACAGTGTCTTTAAGACCAATCTGTCCAGGATAAGTTATAGTTACAGGAGACGGTACAACCCATATAATGCAGCCTGGGGTCCTTACAGTGGTCAGCTTTTATTCTTGGATTACGTGCTAGTGTCTGATGGTGATACCTGCTGTGTCTTGTAGGAGGCAGGGAACACATTGAGGCAGATTAATACTTTTCTCCAAAGACAATGAAAACCCTTTTGTCTAACAGCTTAAAAGTGTTGGAAAAACTGGAGATGGGCTTTAATTTGTTTCACTTAGCTTAACACACACAAATTAAACCCCCAGATTCCTTCAGCCCGATAAGTTCCTCACCCCCCAACTGTAGTCAGATTTCACATTAAAAAATATGGGCTTTGAGGAGGCATACCATCACTGCCTACGTTGATATAGAAAACATATTTTATTTATACAGTATCGTACTAAAATTATTAGTGAAAACATTAAGTGTTGATTCTCATCCCATTTCTTATCTCACCTAGTGCCCAACGCTGCGTATTTACCTACATATACCAATCTGATCACCATACTGTATGTATTATCCATAGTTCATCTTCCTTATTCTTTTTAGTAGTCAGGGAGGTAGTTCTCAGATGGCATGCGTTAAAGAGATCTTTGCTCAGGCACTTTTCGCTCATGCGCTTCCTCTGGGGACCATACATGACTAATTCAACACAAATGTATAATTAAATTGTATGCCCAAACATGAATCAAATTTATCACACTTTTTGTACATTTTTACATTGTTAAAAAACATAAGCTTTACTTAGCTTAAAGAATAACCGTACTCCATCTTTTAAAAAAAATGTAAATGCCCTCCTGGTCTTACACTCCACCTTTAGCCCCGATCCAGGGATCTTCACTGTGAGGCCCCTTTTTACGCCAAAAATGGTAGCTTCATACTGCGCATGTGGACAGCAACCCCATTCATTCCCATGGGAAAGCTGTATTCCGAGTGATTGCTTGAGGCCGCCATGAGTACAACTTTCCCAAAGAAATGAACAACGACATGAAGTACAAAGTGGCCATTTACAGAGGAAAGGCTGCTCAGCTCAGAGCGGGGCGCACAGTCAGGATCGGGGCTAAAGTTAAAGGAAGAACTTTAAGAATTTAAAAAACTTACCCTTGAGGTGAGGTGACCCTGCAAGGATTAAGTGCTAGTTTTGTCTAGGGGCCTCAAATAAAGCAGATATACTCACCTGATCCTCAGTCTCGCTGGGCTGCTAGACTAGTCCCGGCAGCCTTTTCTACTCTGGACTCCGGTGGTCTAAGGACCGCTGACATCACCACGTCTAATGCAGGTCCATTGAATTGCATTAGACGCAAGGAAGCCGAGGGACATTACACAGCCGGAGTGGAAGGGGAGAGAGGTGAGTGCTGACAGAGAATCAGGTGAGTAAAACTGCTTTATTTGAGCAGATAAAACGACCACTTAACCCTTGCCGTGTGGGAGTAGCCCCACTTCAAGGGTAAATACCCAGAGTTCTTCTTTAAGTATAAGACCAGACAGACAGCACTCATGGCGGTAGGGTAAATTAAATACAACAAACTTTGCTGAAAACTTTTAAAAAAAAATGTAAAACTCCACTTCCATCCAAGACTATCCAGTCCACAGGGTGACCACACTGATGCATGATTTAACTGCAGAATGAAGAGGGTTGTCACCCTTGTAAAGGATATGAAATGCTTTTCACTGATTCACTGGCAGCTTCAACAGGTCAGAACTATTTGACAAGGAAGATTCAGCAAAACAAAGACTGCTGTGGTAATGATGGTGACAGACCGCAGCGTGCATGTCATTTTTTTATTTTCCCTTTTGTATATACCAGGGGTAGGCAACCTCGGCACTTCAGCAGTACTGAAACTACAAATTCAATCATGCCTCTGCCTCTGGGAGTCATACTTGTGACTGTCGGAGTCTTGCAATGCCTCATGGGACTTGTAGTTCCAAAACAGCTGAATCACCAAGGTTGCCCACCACTGGTATACAGCATACTTAGAATAAAAGAGACACCATGGACTGGTTTAGAGGGTGTAGTGCAGAGTACAGCAAGCGTTCCTAATGGTCATTCTCTACAAACCTTTTTCCCAGCTCTTCAGCCAAGGTATAAGTCCCCTTCAAAGCGGAAATCCACCCAGATTTTTTGTTTTTAGTTTTGGGTGGTACATGGCAGGGTTCGATCAGCTAGCATGTAAACCTCCACCAACTCTTTGCATCTCACCAATAATGCTGTTTGGGCTTTTTTTTAGCCGAGCTATCAGTGTCACTGCCCAAGTCAATTTTCCAATACGAAGTCTATATTCCTGTTAGGAATCCACTAGATTAGAGTCACCCCAGTACCTCTGGGATCATACTCTGCATACTTCACCTGCAAAAACACTGTTCAATGGAGCTCTCATTAAGTTTCTGAAACCTGAAGTGCACACAGATCAGGGAATGTCAGTTTTCCTCCACAGTATGCAGCCGTTACTGATCTAGTAAGGTATTCTGTATTATTGATAAGACGGGGTTAGAGCTTTTTTTATCATATCAGTACAGTGTGGAACATGCTGGGACATGGTACCATAAGGTTCAGTAAAGATACATTATTCCTACTAGATGTCTGATGGTGATGCCTGTTGTGTCTTGTAGGAGGCAGAGAACACGCTGAGGATGATGCAGAACAAGCTGAGAGACGAAGAGAACAGACTGCAGAAGACAGCAAGTAAGTGTGTGTGTGTGTGTGTGTGTGTGTGTGTGTGTGTGTATGTATGTGTGTGTCGAATAGAAGTATGGACACAGGCACTCCATATGCAATACAGATGTGTCTATTTATTGACAAAAATGCAGCATAATCACACTCAGTGCAACGTTTCGGGGTCTCGCAGGATCCCCTTCCTCAGACAGAACATGTGAATACCATGCCGGACTGTTCCATTCTAGGGGCTTGTTCACGCAAGGCATGTTGCCTTAGGGCCCTGTCACACCATCAAGAGTGCGTTCCAGTGTGTTCGGCCTCTGGAACGCAACCCGGCCGACGCACTTTGTTTTGGGAGGGGAGGGGGCGTGGCGGTGCATTGAACTCAATGGCACCGCAGTCACGCCCCCCGCCCACTGTGCGATCGCCGGCACCCGAACACGTGGCACATTAGCGTCTGCGTTCCCGGTCTAGTGCGATCTGCAAAAAATGCTGCAAACACTACTGTATTTTTCCGTCTATAAGACGCCCCCTTGTATAGGACGCCCCCCACTTTTCTTACCCAAAATTCAGAAATCAATATTTTCTATGCTCGTTTGCATAACTGATTACATCCAGTTAAACTTTTGCAGAGTAAGACAGCCGCTTCCTGGTATTGGTATTTACCGGCATTTGTTTTGTTTTCTGACATTTTATGGGCTCAGAATGCTCCGACATTACCGCTCCCTGTTGCATCTGGGCACTGGCTACAGGCTCTCCGCAGCATCAGCTGACGTTGGGTACATAAGGCTCATGATTGGAGGAAACCTGTTAGCTTGTCTCTGCAATCGGAAGTTTCACTTGTGAGGTTAGTTTGCAGAGGTATCGGCAGTTTCGCAAACGCAGATCTCCTCTCGGCCCCCCGTGTATAAGACGCCCCTCCATTTTTAGGTAAATATTTTTATGAAAAAGTATAGTCTTATACACGGAAAAATACAGTATTTTTGGAGATCGCACTGGACCGGAACATAGGCACTAATGTGCCACGCATTCAGGTGCCAGCGATTGCCCCGTGGACGGGTTGCATGGCTGCGGTGTTGCTGCATGCACCGAAAGTGTGCCAATAATTGTGGCACAATGCAGTGAATTGAAGAGCTTAAGAGCAGTGTAAATGGGGCTGACAGTGGCTCCGGCACCAGTGTGAGGAAAACATTTCCTTGTGTCAGTCCTGAGAATGTAGTGGATCACCAGCACTCAAAAGATATTGTTTTCAAATCAAATTGTTTTCAAATCGATATCTATTGAGTGCTGGTGATCCACTACATTCTCAAGTCTGAATATACAGGGTGCCATCCGTTTTCATCACTACGAGCGCCACATCTGCTACAGGTTGTACACGCTGAAAGGAGTGCAGGGGACACGTCTGTACACTACTTGTGTCAGTCCTGTAACTGAAAGGAAGAGGGAGGAAAAGAACATTGCTGCGTCTCTCAGCGGGAGGAAGAAATGCTGCTGTCATGGTGTCTAAGTTTAAAACGTCCCTGCACTGATGTCCATTGGAGTTGCTGCGTCGTGTCAGTGGGAGGAAAAAGTTTGGCTGCGTCAGTGAGGTGAGGGTCTGAGAAGAACTGCCTTGACATCCATGTCAGTGTAATAAAGGAGGGGAGCTGGGGTGGGAGGCTGTTTGGGGTGCACTGAACTAAGGGGCCCTGTGTGGCTATAGGAGTGGGAAAGGGGCTGAAGGACACTGACATATTGGTGACTACTGGGGGAACTGTTATCTATACTGAAACCGGTTCCTCCAGTAGTCACCATTACAGTTTTCAGTATATGCTGTGATCAAGTGCCAGGACAAGGTTATTCAGTGGCCTTCATTTATTATGCACTAGTCAGTGCATGCCTGATCCTATTCCCAGCTCCTGCCACGCTTGTCTCGGCGCACTTCAGGTCCTCCAGTTGGGTTTCATGTGGACCTGGAAGTGCGCAGTGATGTCATGGGACCTTCCTGCCTCTCCTGGTCTTCTTGTGCTGATCTTGAATAGCGCCTGACCGTCAAATGGCAAGCATCAGAATACATCAGAATTAGTGTGAAGAGGTTTGATCAGGATATACATACTACATGCCATTGTCACTTTCAGACTATACCTTACCACTATATAAAGAAAACTTTGTATACAGCAAAACAAAAGCCATTGTATACTGACAGCTGAGATTTAGGTGGACATCAGTGATTGTCATGCAAGGACCCGCTTATATCCTGAGACCACGTTATTGAGTGAAGGTTCTCCGACAACCTTGGTCAATTTTTAATGGTTTGTTTACATCTACCGTGCACTGCTTCAGAATGTTGTTGCATTTGTCATTTCTGATTTTCTCCATGCACGGTTAGAAGTGCATCTTTATTTTTCAGATGGTTTTAGGAGCCTCCCCCCCAAAAGCACTGGTTGTCAATGTTTCTAATCACACGCTCTCGCCGCTGCTGCCTCTTTCCTTGGACTCCAGCTGACAAAGCCTTATAGTCTTATGATGTGCCTACGTGCCCTGCTGTGACCCTGCCTGCCAAATACAAGAGATGTCTAATTTGTATATTGTAGGTGTACAATTTATGCTGTAAAAGTAGGTTGACCAGATATCCCCAATTTCTGGGAACAATCCGTGATTTCAAAAGGCTATCCCCGAATAAAAAGTGTCCCTGTTACTAGCATGGCGTTCCCTGCCTGGCTGCCGCATGACCAACTTAATCAGTGGCAGCCAAATCCGTCACCTGGCAGCCTCGCGTCATTGGTTGCTAAGATGCAAGTGACCGTCACTCACCTCCATTCCTGCAATTCTTCATCCAAAAGCTCCATCGCCGGCGCTGACTTCTTTTCCCCGGATTCATCTGGGTGTTGGGTCTTCAATCCAGATGATGCAACTCCTGCGCATGCACAGTTCAGTATACATTCTGGCATAGCATGTCTCTTCTGCAATAAGAAACATTCCTGCCCGCAAGTTTTCCGATTTAAGTTAGGCAGACCAAAATCTTAGTTTCTGTGTATAAAAGCTATAGAGCTTTATATCCCTGATTTAATAAGTGTGCTAGGCTCTGTACAATACTGCTTAATAAAACAAAGGTGTAGTTGTCCTTTAAGGTTTACATCTACTTTAACAGTTGATTCTTTTCAGAATCTTTGTTGGATGTGATTTGCTTAGCACATGCATAGAGGCCAAGTTAATACCTGAGAGGCAGAATTATTAAGTAAGACTCCCGACGATTGAATGCAGTTCAGTTCACCTATGTATGTATGTCCATACGGTAGCAGCTGACAGCTGTCATTACCAGCTACATTTCTGTTGACACTATATTAACCTCCCTGACACCTCACATATCTTTTTTTTTCACCCAACCAGACAGCAGTGAAGACTCCGACAGTGAGATCCAGGAGGACGAGGGTTCAGATGATATGGAGGATGATGACAGGAGACCGGGGAAGATGCAGATGGGGAGAGGGATGCTCTCTCAAGGTATGTACAATGTCAATGTGTCACACAGCAGCACTCATAGATGAAAAACACACACTAGATAAATATTAAACTGGCATAGCCCGGGGGGCAGCTGCGGTCTTCATCTGATCTGTCGTGACATCGATGTTCTGTGCCTCATTACATAAAGGTATGTTATACTTGGCATCAGCTCCCTGCTGCTGTTTCTGACAAGCTGGTAATCCGATAAATATGTTTGAAGGGGTTTTCCACTCATATGCTTCTTCATTATGACACTGACGCCAAACAGCATTAGACCTGTTTTTCTCTCTACTTACTTCATTTTGTTATATAAAGAGGTGCGTGGGTGTGTGTATATACAGAATATATATATATATATAAAATAAACATAAACTTATCCCATCCTGCACCCTTATCAAAGGGTTTGTGACTGTTTTCTTACAGTCACATCTTATAAAATAATGCTAAAGAAGCGCAAACGATTATTCCGCATTTGCGTCCTTTTTCCACCACCGCTGCGACACTTAAGTATTTGCAACCAGATAGATACAAATAGCGACAAAACTTCTAATGCACACACTTATGTCAGATCTGCGACAGTCCTCTGTGTCTGAAATTATACACAGAACAGTCGCATGTTAGGAAGTCCTCGGGGGGGACTTCTTAAAGTAGTGTCGGCTCTGATATCCTGTCATAAAAGTCTTGTCACTCCTTCTTTAACCCCTTCATGTGGAAAACAGCTCTATATACCCTTCCCCTTTCTGACTAAACTTTGACTTCCCATGTCAGTGACTGGTATGTGAAAAGGTTAAAGAGAGTCAGAGGTTTTGCTCTGGTAGTTCGGGGAAGACGTGAACTGTGCACTGGCACACACAGCAAGAGGAGATATTGCCAGCATTTGCTTTTTCCTATTGTAACAGTTGCAGAGACTGGATTAAGATTAAGAGCTCATTTATAGATCAAAGGATACAAAGTAGAAGAATCTTCCCTGTTTGCAATGTCTCCACATCTCATAAATATGTCCATTATTTGTTTCTCCTCCTTCTCCGCTGTGCCTCTGCCTCTCATAAATCATCTCCGCTACTTCACACTCTTTCAGAATTTTTTTTTTTTTTGCTGTTATGTAACCCTCATCTTCCAAATCTTCTCTCTTGTCTCTCCCATCCTCATTCATTTCTCTCTTTGTTGTTCTCCTCCCCAGTCTCACAAATCTTCTCTCGAAATCAGCAGCCGCACTTCTAAAGCTCTCTGTGACCGAAATGACTATACTTGCAGCAAACGTGCGACCTGCTGTTCTACTATACATTCATAAACTCATAAAACACTACAGGTGAAACTCGAATAATTAGAATATCGTGCAAAGTTCATTTATTTCACTAATGCAACTTAAAAGGTGAAACTAATATATGAGATAGACTTATTACATGCAAAGCAAGATAGTTCAAGCCGTGATTTGTCATAATTGTGATGATTATGGCTTACAGCTCATGAAAACCCCAAGAACCCCAAATCCACAACCTCAAAAAAGTAGATTATTACATGCAATCAATAAAACAAGGATTGTACATAGAACAATATCGGACCTCTGAAAAGTACAAGCATGCATATGTACTCAGTACTTGGTTTGGGCCCCTTTTGCAGCACTTACTGCAATTACTTTTGCACAATATTCTAATTATTCGAGTTTCACCTGTAGATTAATCATTCAGTCACACATTGCGCCTGAATTCTGTGTTGTGACAGGTTTATTGTCACAGAATAAATGATTGCAATTATAAATTCCCCTCCCTCAGTTTTGCGGGGCTCAGTTCTCCTGCGTCCCATATTCCAGCCAGTGCACATGTGCTGGATCCAGCTATGCTGAATAATTGCCATACAGCACTAAGGTCAATGTATGAGCCCTGGTGGGCTCATATCCTCCACTGCCAGGCACAGATCATTCTCATTGTTTGAAATGCACGCCCCAGGAGGACTGGATGCCACAAGATGGATACACTGCTCGTCACTGGGCACCAAACAGCTAGATGGTCTTTTGTTCTGCATCTAAGGGCTGTAATATACAATTAGTATCTGGAGCAGCCTTTTTCAAACTTTTTACCATGGAGGAATCCTTGAAATAAGTTTTAGGTCTCAGGGAACTCCGACTATAAATTATATCTACAGCTCATCGTACATTAGTGTGATAAGAAAGTTTTAGATTTTTTTTTTTTTTAAAGGTATAAGGAGTGTGGTATGCCTAACAAATTTGACACCCAGATCACTTTTAACACCCTTTCCCTGCTAACAATTTTACTTTCAGTAATAATGATCAAATTAAAAAAACAATTCTAAAATGACAAGAAAAAAATGCAGGCAGTGAAAATCCTTTAAATTGATGGTCAGTGGAAATATACTCCTTACGTTAGTTGTCTATGAAGGGCCCTGTTACCTTAGTTAGTGGAAATGTATCCCTCTTACACTTGAAGGTCAGTGAAAAAGTGCCCCTATACATTGGGGGTCAGTGTAAAGGTACCTCTTATATAGGAAATGTGAGGAAATTTTATCTTCACATTGGTGTTCAGTAGGAGAGGTTCCACCATACACTGGTGGTCAGTAGGAGAGGTTACACCTTACATTGGTGGTCAGTAGGAGAAGTTCCACCATACACTGGTGCTCAGTAGGAGAAGTTCCACCATACACTGGTGTTCAGTAGGAGAAGTTCCACCATACACTGGTGTTCAGTAGGAGAAGTTCCACCATACACTGGTGTTCAGTAGGAGAAGTTCCACCATACACTGGTGTTCAGTAGGAGAAGTTCCACCATACACTGGTGTTCAGTAGGAGAAGTTCCACCATACACTGGTGTTCAGTAGGAGAAGTTCCACCATACACTGGTGGTCAGTAGGAGAGGTTACACCTTACATTGGTGGTCAGTAGGAGAAGTTCCACCATACACTGGTGGTCAGTAGGAGAGGTTCTGCCTTACATTGGTGGTCAGTAGGAGAGGTTCCACCATACATTGGTGGTCATTAGGAGTGGTTCCATTTTACATTGGTGGTCAGTAGGAGAGGTTCTGCCTTACATTGGTGGTCATTAGGAGAGGTTACACCTTACATTGGTGGTCAGTAGGAGAGATTCCATCATACATTGGTGGTCTGTAGGAGAGGTTCTGCCTTACATTGGTGGTCATTAGGAGAGGTTACACCTTACATTGGTGGTCAGTAGGAGGGATTCCATCATACATTGGTGGTCTGTAGGAGAGGTTCCGCCATACACTAGTGGTCTGTAGGAGCGGTTCCGCCATACATTAGTGGTCATTAGGAGAGGTTACAACTCAGATTGGTGCTCAGTAGGAAAGGTTCCACTATACATTGGTGGTCAGGGAAAGGAATACCCACTTTACATTGTTGGTCAGTGTAGTGCCTCTTGCTGGGTGACGTTGGGGTGGGACCCTTAGAGATCTCTGGGGAAACCCTCGTTGAGAGGCTGATTTGAAGGCTAAAGGATGAAGGTATAGATATGGATCTCTGAATAAAAAAACGGAGACATGATTCTCTGCAATATTGAGCCTGAAATTACTATGGAGAAATGAACTTAATCTGTCAGATGACATTCAAGTAACATTGTCAGATAATCCCGAACAGCAAAGGGCTCACTAGTGGTAGGTAGGTACCTTTGTATATTTGTGATGTGCTGTTTTTGTATAAAGAAAATCTCTGCAATTTTCTTTCAGCGTTTTTTTCCCCAGCTACACATGTGTGAAGTAAAACCAAGCTACTGACATGATTTGTAGTCATACTGGTGATGATGATGACTGTGACAGTCTGGCAGAGGGAGTATGGGGATATATTGGGCAATCCACTGTGGGTCTGTAATGGTAAATAGGTTCAGAACTGCTTTAAAGTGAGCCTGACCTGAGATAAAAGTGCATCAGGACACAATGCTGCTCAAGTGCAGGCACCTTATACTTGTAAGTTCCTGTATTAGTCTGCAAACCAGACCTTGTGTCCCTGTGGGAGCCCCCAAAGCCCAGACTGTACATGGGGCTTCAATACATGGCTCCTCCCAGCAGTAAGGCCATCCGAATGACAAAAATGTCATTATCATGTTGATGATGGGAAGGAGAGCAACCGGGAAAGTCAAAACAAGCAAATTCAACTTCAGCTTTAACCATCGGAGTGTTTAAATGGCATATTGGTGAAGCATCTGTAACCTAAGGAAATGTATTTGTGTCTTTTCCAGGAAGGGGAGCACGCATTGTGGGAACCATGCACGGCGGAGACAGTGATGAGGTACGTGTCATTTACTAGAGAACAGCAACCCTCAGACAGTTGTAGCCCATTACCCATTTACAAAGGAAAAGACACATTACAGTTAAATGCAAATTATTTATTTGTTCAGTAAGATTTAAATACAAGATTATATAAGATTTAAATCCCCCTGAGGTCTTTTTGTCAGCTGGGAATAAGTCTAATGTATAATTATCATGTGCTATACCGTCACCTAGTGGCTGATTGCGTTATTACATGTTTCTGGGGGTGGAAAAAACACCTTTTACATATGTTAATTATGGGTAGAAACTAGGGATGCACCAATACCAAGTACCATACTCTGTACAAGTACAGATACTTTTAGAGCTCCAAGACTAGACTAGAGAAAAATTCAAAAGTTAGGAGGCCGCTGTCATTTGTAAGGAGCACAGTACACACAGATCAGCGTCCCCAAATGACCTGAGACACTGATCTGTCATTAAACAATAACAACTGGGTGGCGTCACGGCCGGCTCCGCCTAGTTGTTATTCATTGGCCAGGACCTGCTAGAAAACAATAAGATTTTTTTAACTTCTTTTACTATTTTAATTGGTTTGCTATTCTGCTCATTACCACGGAGGTACCGAGCAGAATAGCTGAGCCAAAAGCCGCTCGGTGGTATTCGGCTATTCACTCACTCACTTCGCTCCTATGAGATTAGGGGCAAACGGCAGCGAGTGAGCTGCCGGAGCTTCGGCTCAGCCGATTCAGATGTTGGATCGGCTGAGTCAAAGTCCTTAGCTGACCGAAGTGCAGCCAATGTACGGCTGAAATCAGCCGTACTGAGTGGAAGTGAATAGCCGAACAGCGTTCAGCTCACTTCACTATGACTCGGCTGCCTTGGTCAGCTTAGTGAATGGCTCTTTAAGTTTACAATGCGAAGGAGAAACATGTAAGAAATGTAAAGTTGGGGTCGTCCTAATTTGGCTGCAAAAGTGGAAATACATTTTAAAGAGTAGCGTGTGTGCAGCCCTGTCGGTGTCGAGTGAGGATCACAGCGGCTCCGGGGCTCATGCGTGGACAGGTCACTCACAGGGAGATACCTTCTATCTGTGGCCAGGATAAGACCCGTCAGTGACCTCTAGAAATGGATCCGTGGGGAAGAAGTGACAAGAAATGGAACCGAACTATTGTTTTAACAGAAAACGTATTCTGTTTCTTTCCATTAACCCTTTCGCTGCCAAGCCCTCGAACATTTTTCAAATCAGCTGGCCAAGCCATTTTTGAATTTTCTGCAATTTTTTCCTATTGGTTTGATTTTCAACTGCTGCGTTGCTAGCGTTTGTAAAAGACCCCCCAAACCATATATTTTCTGAAAGCGCAATATTTTTACCCGACGTGACCCCATCTTTTATATTTTACCAAAAAATTGGGTAATAATAAATGTTTTATCATTTAATATAGGGGAAACTGTTTTTTTTTTTTATTTCGGTGATTTTTCCTTAATATAGTAAAAAAATAAAAACCCCCAGTGGTGAATAAATACCACCAAATGAAAGCTCTATCTGTCCCCAAAAAAGGGTATAAAATTCATTTCAGTACAGCGCTGCATGACGGAATAAATGTCAGTCAAAGTACCGCAGCGCTGAATACTGAAAAATGGCCTGGATGGGAAGGGGGTTTAACACCGCGGATGTCAACTAGTTAAAGGGGACAGTCTGCTGAACAGTTCTACTATAAGCTGATGGTCGCTAAAGCGACCATCAGCTTATAGTAGAACTGTAAATGCCAGGTCCGTACGACGTATTGAGCTGGCCAGCTGGAAGCACTTTTGTAGCTCCGTACGACGTACGTCCTTGGCAGCGAAAGGGTTAAAGTGAAACCCCGTCATCTTATCCTTCCTTGTGCTCCAACATTTTATTTACACACTTACATTGTATTACTATTACAAAGGTTCTCAATAGGAATCGGTATCCACAATGTTTACAAATCGTGTGGTGTAAGTGGGAATTAAAGGTAAAGTCCACCAAAAAAAAAAAAAGAACTCTTCATAAAATAAAAGCTGTTCACTATTGTTTTGCATTGGAGCCGGTAAAGCATTGCAACCACGATCAGTGGATGTCAGGTGCAATGATCTGCTCTGGCTCCTGCAGATTCTCACTCCTGTCCATGTCTGTACCTCGTTTTGGATATAGAAAGGGGGGGAAGGAAATATAATGGAGAAAATGAAACTTGCAGTGTAAGTAAGTTCCAGGCAGAGCATGGAGGAAAGGTGAACATGGTAGCTTTCTCTCAATAGCTGGTTTTGCTTTTATTCCTGCATGGTCAGTACGTGGAAGCGGGAGCCAGTCCTGCCATGGTAAATAACCCTGAGGCTGCCAGTGACACCAAGCAGGTTGGTACATACTCTGCTTTCCTGAATAGCTCCTCCCACAATCCCTTTTAGCACAATAATAATGAGCAAACCTGCACCAAGGTGGGTATACTGTCTGTGTTGCCCTTAGCTACCAATCAGATTCCTGCTCTGTACTGCCAGCCTGCACAACCCAGCCAATGTTTTGGCCAACTGGCAATGTTCTTTCCTCACCTTATTATATATTGTCCAAACCCCTCATCCTACGTGTCCTCCGTCTGCATCCCACATCCCCAACCTGGCATCTCCTAGAACCGTAGTGATTGGAGGTGGTCGGTTTCTCTACGTGTACCTGATTACCTCTGTTATAACATTAATGATGTCTTCCCATAGGATGGCCTGGATGACAGCGAGATGGATGATGATGAAGAGGACGACGACGATGACGAAGAGGAGCTGCTCATGAGGACGAGAGGACCCACAAAAGAGCTGAGCAGACCCAGCAGAAGAGCACGGCAAACCGAGTCATTTGTAGAGCACGACAGCGACTTCTAGACAAATGTGTGTATATAGTTCTCATATATCAAGAATGTCTTTATATAGTGTGATATCCCTGCTGACGCTCTACATGAATACTCATCAGAGGTATCACTCTTGGAATTCACTGAGCCAATGATGCTACAGATGCAGGAAATGGTTCCTGGTTAGGGGAGAGGGGGGGCGGTGACAGCGCCTTTGTTTAACTCTTGATTTGATCTGATAATGAGTGTTGGTAGAATGTCACGGGGGAATCGGGAGCATTCAGGAATCCTGACATGGAATCATTTTTCTTTTCTTCACAGCATTTGTTCCATATTGTGTACAGTAAAGGGAAGAAACTAAGAATGAACAGGCTGCATGTAATCTGATATCAGAGCAGCTCAATGCCGTCCTGCAACTCCTTTTTCTCTACAGAATGCAGCGTCTTGCTGCCGCCTCCATTGTTGACTCGCTGCTAGATTTGCTGTCAGTTTATCATATCTCCAGCAGTGATCACCTGATCACTTCC